CTGAGGTCGAATGGGGGGGCGTACCTTTGATCCCCGCCATGCCCCCTGCTTCGGAGGGGCCACTCGAGCTTCTCGGGCTGCCTTCGGGCCTGCGAGGCAGAGGAGACGGGGAGCGAGGGGGCGTCTTCCGTCTCCTGCTCACGTGGTGCTCTCCTAAGCCGTCCCTTTCCTTCTGGAAAAGGAGCTTCCTTGCTCAAAGGGAAGGAAGAAGGAGGAGGGAAAACAAATAAGGATATCGAAAGAAAACCGGGTCGCGTTATCTGGCGTCTTGGTTGCCGGGCTGAGTGCGGGGGGGGGGGGAAAGGCCGCCTCGAAAATAAGCTTTGCTTCCTTATTTATTTCCTTTTTTTAAGTCTTGCCCAACTTTGCCTCGTGATTAATGCCTCGGATCGGTTTCCGGGCACCGGGACTAAAATATATGCTCGGCGAGCGCCAGATCTCTGCCTCGCCACCCGCTCCTTCGCCCAGAAAGAATCAGGACCCACCGAAGTGCTTGGCACGGCCACCTTACTCACCTGGCTCAGTACGAAGGCACAAACAAGCTCAGCGAAGCCATCCCATAGCAAAGCGACAGCCCTGCACACCTCACGGTTGCAGGATGGTAACCCGGCTTCTGTAGCTGAGATATAACACTAAGACTAAATATTTGATGCAGTGCGATTGAGCGAGTCATCTTCTAATGTACAGTACTGTATATGGGCGCTGCATAAACTAGGCAAGCCCCCACAAAGCTCGCAGGTGTGTGTCTGTATTTTTAAGAGCAATAGATTTGGGGGAATGAATTGCTGGCCTTTGTCTTAAAAGTTACACGGCGCACAGATTTATATAGGATAGAGTGGCTCAATTTCTTGTGATTTTATCTTCCCAGTTCCTGCCACAGAAATCTTGTAGGAAACAGCTGTACAACTCTAGGTTTTCTGTAATGGGTACAGCTGCCGTTTTGTTACTTAGATACAAGTATAAATTGATTCTGAACAAAACGTTTTTTCTAGAGTTTAGAAATTCTTGTTTGCTTTCCGGTTTGTGTGTTTATTTATTTAATTTATATATTAAGTTCAAGAGTAACTGATGTGAAGATCTCTAGATGTGGTTGGGCTGCAGTTCCCATGAGCCCTAGGCAACATAGCCCATGGTGAAGGATGGTGGCAGCTGAAGTCCAGCAGCATTTGTTGTTCTTTACAGGATGCAGTTCTCACTTACACTTTTCTTCTATACCTTACTGTCATGAAGTTTTAAAATATGTACCCAGAATCATTTGCTGGGGGTAAACTCTTATGACTAATGGTGAAAACATCCTTTGGTTTTGGGACCCAGATGGTTAGAGGATTACAGGCAAAAAGCCACACACTCTGGCTGACAGATGGAGGGGAGGAGTGAGAGGAGGTGCATATCATTGGGAGTTGTACTAGAAGTGCTTCCAGTTTCACAAAAGAAATGGGCGAAGGGTGATTTGTTTTTTCTTATTTATTGTGGGCATTGAAAGGGAGAGCAGCAGCACAAAACCCATCATTTCACCATATATTGCAGGAAAGGGCAACCTCCAGAGGTTATACACATCTATCCCTGGAACTTAGCAGGTTCTCCTGTTCATACAATAAAGCCCTTAAAAAAGGGGGGGGGGAGTTTTTAAAGTTGGCTGCCTCTAATGATGGGGAAAGAAACAGATTATGGGGCAGAGGTGCTGATAACCCCTCAATTATGGAAAAATTGCCCTCAGTCCCCCCTCAAAAGGACAAGGGGACTTTTGAGTCAATCTTTTTGCATGGGTATTTTCTGTGTTGCATACTTCTGGACATAAAACCAGGAGACAGATACTGTAACAGCTGGGAGCACTTTTGCATTTGGTGCAAGTTTTTCTCTTTAATGTTCAAGTCTTTTGAAAGAAGCAGAACCAACAATCATTTTAGTTTAGATGTGTGTGGTTGGGTTCTTTGTACACATTTGACAGTTCCAATGTTTGCGTGGGAAAGTAATGAGAAGGTTCATTCAAAATATTAACAGATTTATTAAAGTTGGTTTCTAAGGAATCAATAACAACTTCAGTGGGGTCAAAGTAACTCAATTCTGGTAACTGTCCATTTGGTTCTACAAACACATTCTGGTTGTTAATATCCTTCAATACTGGGGAGCCGGTCCAAATCGTTCCTCATCTGTAGGCTTCCTCAGGGGCACAATCCTGACAGCACAAATTATGCCACAACACGGTGGGTGAGCCCTCGGGTGTAGACTTGTTGAAGGTGGAATCTGGACGCACCACCTTCTTCGAACAACCAGCCCCTCTGGAGAACACAGCTACCGTCCATTCTGTTGTTTCTGTGATGGTCACCGCATCTTCCTTCAGCACTCTATTCGGGAATCTGGGCACACTAAAGACTCTCTCCTGTTCCTTCTTTTATTTCCTCTTCCCACACATCAAACTTTAACTCCTCCCCCTTTTCTTTCCCTTCCTCCACTAGACAGACCTCTGTTTTAACCCTTTCCTCTTTTATCACATTCCCTTTCATCTCATTTGTCCCCCCCTCCTTTGATTCTGTTAACATGATTTCTTGACACACTCTCCTCTTTCAGTTCTCCTTCACAGTGTGCCTGTGCATTTCAGTGTATAAACTGAAGGCCTTTCACTTGGACATGGACACACATACTGCATATATGCAGAAATCTGCAGCAAGAAATGCCCTACTGTGTTTAATGTGCTTGCAAATGAGTTTGATTTTGCCACTCTGTATATTGTGAGACTCAGTAATGTCCTCTTGTACCTGCAGAATAATTGCCTCAGATTGTTGCACTGTTTTACCACTTGAACTTTTCTTTCTCTATGAAGGATAAAGTACAAATAGAATGGAATGAGTTCTTTGCGCCTGTTTTAATATATGTTTTTTAAAGACCAGCCACAATTCAGTTCATTGTGTATATTGTATATTTACCAAAAACAAAACAAGTGTTTTTAATCATTGACAAGTTCTGCAATGGCCAGATATGATTAAAAAGTAAAAGGAGGGGAAAGTGTTTTGACACATGGCAGGTCTCACTTTCACATACTATTAAACACACCCCAAGGTGGACAAGTGTTTTACTGAATGAGGTGATACAGTGGTGCCCCGCATAGCGACGATAATCCGTTCCGGATAAATCGTCGCTATACGGGGCAAAAAACCCCATAGGAACACATTAAATCCTGTTTAATGCGTTCCTATGGGGGGAAACTCACCGCTAAGCGGAAATCCTCCATAGGGGTGGCCATTTTCGGTGCCTCTAAAGCGAGGCAACACAGCCGGTGGCCATTTTGGAACCGCCAATCAGCTGGCCGAAAATGGGGCCATGCCGGCATTTTCCCCCAGCCGAGCGGCAGGGCTCCCGCTCAGCTCGGGGAAAATGCCACCTCCGAAGGGGAATGCCTGCCATGGCCTTGGAAGGACCCTTCCGAAGGGTCCTTCCGAGGCCACCGCCAGCATTTTCCCCCAGCTGAGCAGCGGGAGCGGTCCTTCAGAGGCAACATTGCTATGCGATCGCAAAAGCGATGGCAAAAAAGCCATCGCTATGCGGATTCGTCATTAAACGGGGCGCTCGTTATATGAGGCACCACTGTACTTTCATGTTGTAGTTGGTGAAAACTGATATTCAAGGCCTTTTGAAAACACAGTTAAGTCTATTGTACTCCATTAATGACTTTTTGGTAATTTCGAACATGTGTGCTACATTAATTAAATCCATTTATAGATCATAAACATTGTTCACATGGTATGAATGCGAATGTAAGAGGAAAACAAGTCACCAAAAGAGGATTCACATTCCAAAATGTTTTTAATAGACAAGCACATACTTGATCAAAACATTTCATAATATGTTAATAAATAACATCCAGTTTGTTATAGCTGTTGAAACATCTTAATGTTTTTATAATATAAAAAGGAGAGCTTGGTGTTTTGTTCCACATCGGCAGTAAATGGCAATAAATAAAGGATCAATACAACAAAAAGATGGCATTTAAATATAAAAATAAATGTAGGCTGGTTGACATGCTGTATCTGGAGAAAGGGTTTTTCTCGCTAGAAAAGGACAACAGAAAAACAGATTGTCTTAAAAAACATCAATTTGACAAAAGATTTTCACATCACTTAGATATTTCTCCCTTTAAGAACGCATGTGGAAACTTTTCTACCCATCCACTAGCTACCTAGTGAAAATATCAATGACCATTTTCCCCCATCACACAGTGGCTTTTGCATCTACCATTAAATAACTCCATCAGGAAACAGGATGCATAATGGGATCGATTCTGTGATGGGACTCCAGTGCCATCATGCCTTCAAGCATATGGAAAATACCTTGTTTTTAAAACCATCCTCACCTTAATCTTAGTGGCCTTCCTAAAAGACAACCCCACCCTACATGACTATGAGTGCATGTTGACTTCATGTCAACTGCCAGAAGGGGAAAGAGTACGTAATAGTAATCCTTTTCATGCCTGAGACACTGAGTTTCATTCAGAGAATATCAGTAAATAAAACTGCATTTACAAATTTCTCTGCTAAAGGAGAAACATTGCAAAATGGTATGTAAAATTAGTTTTGTGAGAAGATGAGGCAGGATATACTTTTATTTTACCTTTATGGATACCGCCATGTGAATATATCAAAATTATTGCTTACCGGGCCAGTGTATCTTTTCAAGGTAAGTGTGTTTTTTTATTTTGTTAAATTAATGTCATTAATTACCTACAGTAACATCAGCTTGCGTTCACAAATGCTTTGGGGGACACTGGATATTTGATTGCATTTAAACAAACTGAATAAGTTAGGTAGGAATCACTTCATAAGGAAAGAAAGGAGTCACCTGTGTTTAGAGTGCAGGGCATTATAGGTGTAGGGCATTACTTTAGCTGGGAATTTTTTAAAGCTTTTGCAAGATATTGATTCACACATTTACTTTTTCAAACGCTCAGCAGTCAACTCTGTTCTGTTGATGTAGGTATCGCTTTCAAATAGGCTTCTGCCTGCATAACAGAATCATTTAAGGAAACTCTCCCCAATTGTACATTAGTGTAAAATGTATGTTACCTGCTTGTCTGAAACATAAAATACAGTACTATGCTTAAGGCAGCAGTAAGTTGCCAGAGAATACAACCAGTTGCTTAGCTGTTAGATTCAAAAACATACTCCATGACGTAATTGAAGGGTCAAATTATTATGACAGATAGTGTACAGATAAAAGCTGGATCTGAACAAACATCCTTTCCTTCTGAGAAAGTTTGTCCTGGATACAAACTTTCCAGACAAAGCCATGTCCCTAATGGTGCTGAGTCCAAAAGGAAGAGAACATTGTCCATTTCACTTCACATTTCAAGACAAACAATCCCATTTTGCGAGAACGCCTCCTTACCTACCCTGTTTAAACCTGAAAGAACGCTAATAGGTTAATCCCAAGAGCTCCCACTTTGTAACTGTAATTCATGGCATACATAAATAGCAGCCTCCATATTTTTCCCCCTTTCCGCAAGGAAAGGTTTTAACATTTGGGCTAGTTTTCTCATGTTCACACTTCCAGCCAGATAACCAGTTCAGCTGTGAAAATCTTGTGGCAAGGAACTATACGAGCACTAGCACGGGTCTACAGCAATGTCTGAGAAGATGGGCTAATACAAGGGCTTTTGGCCTTGGTTTTCAAATTCTGACCAGGCGTCATTGAGCTCCATAAAAATCATCTTTGCATATTGTTCATATGGCTGTCCTGTAGCCTAGAGGGAAAGAGAGAGAGAAACACTTAATTATGCAATAGATTTCTTACCTGTCTTTCAAGAATGAGGCAGCTCACCATGTAGAACAGGAAAATATATGTCCAATACAGTATATTTAAATCAGCTTGAAGATTCCTTTGTCCACATGAGAGTCGAGACATATTTTAGATGTATTGCATAATAGATTGTGAGGCCAGCACAAGCCTTTGATGCCAATCTGCAAGGATCACTAGTCCTCAAAAGGTGTTTGCTATCCTCTCAGCCTTCCTATTAGTTATTCATAAGCTAATTTGCTGTAAAGTTTGGTTGCCTATTTGTCAAAAGCAATAAGTCATGCATTTTTGTGACCTATCCACACATTTTTGCAGCATTTAACCTTGGGTAATTTGATAGATTTCATTGTATGGTCATTATAAATTGTTTGATCGTTATAATTGAAAGGTTTATCTTCAGTTCAGTTTGCTGCTCCCTTCCTCCCACCCACCCATCCACCAGTTGTAACCCAATTTCACATCTTTCTGTAACTCAGGGCCTGGTCACACAGCCAAGAAACATGGGATTTGACCTGCATTAAAAACCATGCTGAGTTTCACATTTACACAATGAATGCCAGAGTGTGTATTTATTTTCCTCTGACTCATTACTTTCTTAGAAAGCAAGTTAAAATAAATGTCCACCAGAGGGCTGTTAATTTTAGCATACTGTTTTCTTAATCGACTTAAGCCCCATTGGGAACTTTACAGATGCTTTTGAAAGGAAGCATTTCAATTACCCAGTGGGAACGCAGGAAATGACTCAAAAACCACGTGACTTGAGTTGGCTAAAATTAAAACACTACATATTGTGCTTTTTTTTTTGGAGAAATATAGACATTGTCTACATCCCATCATGTTTGAATGACACTCAACATAAGCTTTTCCCCAGCAAAAACACACCACCATTAATCAAAGATTTCCAAAGGAACCAGGGCTGGCACTATCATTAGGCAGCCACTTCAGGCAGCAGATGCTAAGGCTCAGGGAACAGAGGCAAGATAATGGAGACAAAGTTGGGTGTGCCACCTGGCTTGTGGTTTGACCCCTCAGCTAGCTTGTTACACTTGGGTGCAGTGAAATGCCAGCCCAGCCCTATTGAAGTCAGCCTCTGTGTAGGGAATGGGTATGAGGAGGCCATGTCCTTTGCCTGGGCATCAAGATGTCTTGAGTTCATTCTGTGTGGAATATAGCAGTGACAAAGATCTTTTGATCAATTCCTGAGAGGAAAATATAGAAGTAGATCTTGATGCCAGCCATAAATTAGCATACTGCTTAGGGAAGAGGTTCATTTAACAAATACCATCCATCACTTACTTTATCGGGATGAACAACAAGTACTGCTTTCCGATAAACCTTTTTTACTTGTTCCGGAGTTACAAGGTCTGCCATGCTGACTGGTTTCCATTTTGTTTCCCCTTCCCATAGCACCGTATGCATTGTGGATAACAATGCTCTTATGTTTCTCTCCTTTCCTTCAATCCATTCAAGGATCTATATAGAGCCAAACCACAAGACAAACTATTAATTCGGAATATGCATGTAGCTATCATTATCACCATCATCTTAGAACATCATCTTCTCCCCTTCCTCATGATCAACCAGGCTAAAGACTAGACCATGCAAGCTCTCCTCCACTACCTGGGAATGGCCAAATTAATCTGTTTTTGCTCCATATTAGTTCTGTATGTGTTCTTTCATAACACCATTTAATCCTGTTTCTGTATGGTGGTACACTTTGTTAAATCCACATGAATAAGTCTTTTTGATGTGCTTTTGATTCTAAAAAATATTTATTTTAATACGTATTTGACTGACAGCTGCATTTTGATCCACACGTAAGTCTGGAAAATGAGGATCATACTACTTTAAAACACAAACTGGATTAAATCCTCAGGTATTCCTCCTACAGCCAGATACTGTATAGTCTTTGGAAAGAATGAGAGAAGCACAAATTAATTTGGACCTGTACTGAGTTCTGGAGTTGTTCCAACTTTCCCCCCACATTATTTTCCTGAAACAATAGGATCTCTGTCAGCAATAGAGACTTTCTCCTGCCTCTGTTCCCCTTTTGTACTACACGTGTCTTCATGCAGATGTTATATTTTCAAAAGAGGTAAGAATACAAGCAGACACTCTATACAGTCTGAAAATATACCACAGTGTTCTCATTTTACAAACATCATTTTGCATCCTAAAGTGCCTCTGAAATGTTAAATAGTAAATTATTTTTCAGAGCAAACAGGACAAAATCTTAAATTATGTATTAAGCTACCCATATATGCAGCTTACTTTTAACTTTTCAGGGTCCATCTCCTTGGCCATTTCTTCTTTCCGCATTTCTGCTATTGTTCTTGGACCCTTTTTGTCTTTATGGGCATTAAAACCTTGTCCAGATAAAAGGTCCTCAAAATCAGCAGAAACTTTGGGTTTGGAATCTTGGTGACCAATAGATAGACAGACAGACAGACAGACAAACAAAGAAACAAACAAACAAATAAATCCAGAGAGTATTATTCTTGACACAGAGAGATCGAAATGCCATATTACACCGAAGCCTTGTGTAGCATTCACCCTTATTATGTTAAGTAGTTATGAATATTCATATTATAGGCTAATGTTGCTGAGAGGCGGAGCTGAGAGATATGTAATAAAGAGCCGGAGTCAGAGAGAGTCAGAGTCGGTGAGAGAGAGTGAGAGAGTGGAGAAGGAGATAGAGTGTGATATTTGGGACACTTGAGGTGTGATTAGAGTGAAAAGTGAATATGAACTGTAATAACAAATAAAAGGTTGGGATTGATGATAATAGAAGTTACTTATGATTAATATTCAGAGATCTGTGATCAATAAAAATGTTTTATTTAAAAGACAGTGAAGTTTGGAGCCGCATCTTCATCCTTCCATAATTAATGTTGATTTAGTGAGCAACTGGTGGCAGCGGAGTAAAAAGTAGTAGTAGTTTGCCTTCGTGTGCTCTATGTTTGGAGGTTACGGCAAGGGGCACGAGGGGCGAACGCTACGCCTTGCAGTACATACAATTCAGGCTAAAGAATGTATTGTGGGTTTTTTTAAAAACTGTACAGCTTTAACAGAGGACGAAAGTGTTTTACAGTCTCTCCAGCAGTTCTGCATTTGTGAGCACAAGGATGAACCATAAAATGACACGTCAACGGAAGCTTCTCACTGGGAAATACAGGACTAGGATTCAGTTGCATATCTCCCACATAATACGTAGTTTGGCTCTTAACATGTAATCCATTCTAAACTCACTGTGTAAGTGCAGGATTTCTCAAGTGAGTTTAAAAAGTTTTGTTTGCTCATTTTGGGCTTAAATTCACGCAGCACTTCAAGTAGTTCACTCAACGCAACAACAGTGAAAAGCAAAAGTTTGTGTCTTCTAATTGTTTGTTCAGAATACCCAGTAAGATGCTCACAGCTTCTGATAAGATGCAGAAGATTCTAGCCCTATTCAGTCAGGCTTTAAAGCATGTGGAGCTCACTTGCATTTAGGGGCATGCGCTAGCCCTTTCCCTTCATCATCTCTTTGATCATGGAAACATGACTGTCTGAAAAGAGGGAAACTTTGGCTCTCAAAAGAATTTTAATACATGAGAGACGAAGTTTCCATGAGAGCCAAAGCATGCCTGCTCTTGTCAGGAGCAGCCCCTTATCTGTGATTGTGTCTTTCTGTTCCTAGAACAGGAATATCTGCTAATATGAAAGAACAGCTGACTGAAACTTTTCAGCTTGGACATCTACTTTTTTGTCACACTGAACAGCCTTGCATCCATTTTATGAGACAAATGCAAAATATTAAAACAAATTGATTTACCAGAACTTCCTGATACTTTTCCACGTTCATTTTGGCCACCGGGCACTGAAGAAAAGCTCACATTGTAGTTAGGCCTGTTTTGTGGAGAGGAATGTGGCATGCTTTGTTGGGGCTTGGTCTGTGATTGTGGCCAGGGGTATCCAGTGCCCTGTTGCCATATGCCACCACCCATCGGCTGAGGAGAGGGTTTCTGGGGTGATCCCATAGGAGGAAAACCTCCACCTAGTCCTGTAGGTGTACTGGGCTTGCTGGCAAAAGAAGGACAACCTGAAACATCAAAGCAAAGCACTGCACTTTAATTATTCTGCTCAAGAAAACGAGTCCTGGAGTCTATACTTTAGTGTATCTATAGCTTAACCGTAATAACTATTCAGAGATGAATATTGATTTCATGCTATGTGCCAAAACAATTCAATTTGTTCTATTCCTGAAGGCAGGAGGAACTTTTAGAGCGGTATCTAATGTAAGGCAGGGAAATGCAATTAAAATTTGAAGGCACTAAAACCTCCAGGTAGAAATGAAACACTTTTGGTGAGGACACATTGCTGTCTGAATTCCAGCTGTGTCTAGATTTTATATCTATGTCAAGTTTTGTATTCTTATTATCAAAACTATTACAGAGGTTTTTTTGGGAGGGGGAACTATTGGAATTAGAACATTTAGATAGTAATAAAGCTAAGGCAGGCAAAAAGTATGCTTCTTATATTGCATACATTGAAATTGCTGCATCAAATTCTATTCATATTGGAGAGCATCATATTCCAGAATACATTATATTCTCTGCCACAAGGGTTGTGTGTCTGCATATATTTTGACACACACACATATACATATATATGTATGTGTGTATACATACAAGTGTACACACAGAGAGACACACACAGAGAGAGACAAATATAAATTTTGGGGCAAGGAATGGATTTAATCTCTTCCACTGGCAGGCTGACATTTCTAAATCAGATCAAGTTGAGTTTACCCAATCAATATCAAGATACATGATTTAAACATTTCCTTGTATGAAAAGCATACCAGGTTGTGAGGAGGAGGCCAGTGGCACAAGTGCCCTTGTCAGTGAACTAACTAACTAACTAACTAACTAACTAACTAACTAACTAACTAACTAACTAACTAACTTTATTTATTTATTTATTTAGAAACAAATAAACTCTGTTTTGTTACTCCCATAAAGACCCATTTTACAACAGCCACTATGTCACTATAATTAGTTGAAGTGGGCTATAAGTGATATAGGAAAATTTTCAAAATATAAATAAAACAGAAAATTCACATTACTAAAAATTACCCATTTTAAAAAATCAAGTCTCTCGATCTTGCATATTCTGTTTTTGTTTCTTTTAAATCATAAAATGCCTTCTGTAAGGAAAAAATAAAATAGCTCTCTATATATAGCAAGATCCACAAGGAGCCACACTACGTGACATCAGACACATTTCACATTTTGACCCTGCACAGCCTCAGAAAGCCAGCAGAGGGGAGCCGGATACCTAATTCCAGAGCCAGTACAGCATTTAGGCGTAAGAGGCAGTAAATAGCAGGGGACAATTTTAATAGGAAAATCCTTCCTATCTTTTCCTTTAAGGAAAGAATGAAAAAGCATTCAAAAATGTGACTTTTTTTTTCAAAATAAAGCAAAGCACCTTCCTATATTTTGTTCTGTTTTAATTCATCTTCATGCTTTTACCTATATCTATTTCATCCCTAGATTGTGTTTATTAACATTACATGTAGCACATTGAAGTTACAATGCTGACTTTAATGAGATGATTTTCAGTGTCGAAGACTGGATCACACATTTCAGTGACAAGAATGAAAGATCACATGGATGAGTATCTACAGGGGAACATGGAGAGGGGAGAACAAAGTCCTAATTCCTAAATTTATTATTTCAAAGTACTAATTATGGCTTTCTCTGCAGCATGTTTTTAGCCTTGGACAAGCTACAGTGCCCTACAGTGTCAAGTCTCTTTGCTAGGAAGTCCCTCCCTGACCTCACCCTTATATTGCCCAATGTAAAATGCACTACAGATTATCTATCTTTCCACTCAGCTATCATATTTAACCTAACCTGCTAGATTGGCTCCAAGAGCCCCCAAGTCAGCAAAAGGATCCAGGCTTTGTGGTTTGGCTTGATGCGTAGGAGTGCTATGCACTGATCCTGTAGGGCTGGTAGCAGCTGATTTGCTCCCCTTACCTAGGCCACCTGAAAAGCAAAAAAAGCAATCTTATAAACTATAATCTCGATGACCCCATGTTGCATACACTGGTTAGCTTTCAACCTATAGAAAACCAATGAAAAAGTTGAGATATGGAGATTATTAAACAGTGCTTTGAAGCTTACTCAGACGATGCATTCCAGAAGGAGCTTTGGGAAGGTGCCAGCAGCTAACCAGATCACTTTTGTCAAAGCATTTTGGGAATGGAAATGCCTTTGGCTGCTCCTCATTAAATTTTGCCATCAAATGAACAGATACTAAAGGATTTAACTTTGTTCATCTGCTCTGAAATGGCTTTTGAGAATGATGAAAATCTAACTAGCAACTTGAGGAGCATGCTAAGGCAAATGACATGCAAGCTGTTAGACATATCTAGGTAGGCATAAAAATCCTTGTGAAACTCTTTCAGAACATTTAAAACATTCATTTTACTTTTCATTCAAACATCTGTAAAATCTTTGAGCTGAGCCTGCTTGAAATGTTTTGCTCTGCATATGATTCTCTTTGTTTTTGAAAACCAAGTCAGTCACAACATTAAAACATTGCATTTTCATTTCATGTACATGCTTTGAAAATATAGTGACAGCTGAGGATGATGATTATCAAGACTCCTGTGCACAGGGAAAGGGTTCCCAGGCCCCCCATCTCCGAACTATGCATCCTCTATTCTCAGCATCTTTGCAGTTCCAATAATCATACACATCCATTCATCTATTGCTTCCTATCTCATTTTTGTAAACAAAAAAATGTGTGTTACAAAATGTGTTCGGATTCATGGCTAGCACTGACCTGAAGTAAGAACTTTTTGCTAACTTTAATTGGCATTATGTGTATTCAATGTAATAACAAAACCCCTCTTTAGTTTCTTTCAGGTAGATTTTAAAACAAAGGCAGACAATCAACTTCCACCAACCTTTGGACTACAATTCCCATATTCCACACACTAATGGACATTTATGGGAAGGAAGCATCTCGAGAGGACCTAGCTATCTATCCCTGGTTGTGAAGATACCTGCATGTGTTCTTACCTAGGTTTCTAATGGACTATGTGAACACAAGTGAGAGACATTCCTAGCCAGAAGGAACACACTTCATACACTTCATCATCTCCAACAAATTAGAAACAGTTTTGAGACAAACCTGATTTGCCAGGCCATTCCCAGTCCCCTGAAACATCTGGCTGAATGGAAACACTTGGTGTACTAGAAGTACCTAAAACAAAATATTACTGCCTATTAATATACTTTAGGGAGAAGAACCAAAAAAAAAAAAAATCAAAAGTGATATTCATAGAAAGAAAAAAATTAACAGCACTTAATCTTAAGGCAGCTGTAGATCTTCAGATGTTTTTTGTCTAAAACTCCCATAAGCTTAAAGAATTTTGCAAGTTATCACCCAAACATTTTGTGAAGGTTCACAGCTGCTGAATCTCACAGTGGAAAAGTTTATGTTTTATCTGAAATATATAGGATTGTGCAGTTACGGAAGGTGATAAGAGTCCTCTATGAGCAAAATATACATTTTTCATTTTGTAAGTCTGGCAATAGACTTACACAGATACTCATTTTATCATGAAATTAGTACATGTGGATTTTCCAAGCCTGTTATCCTGAAAGTAGTAATGCATGAGGCTTGCAGCCTAATGGAAAATATAAACACACTAGAGGTAAATGGCCCACAGCCCTCAGATACAATCATAGTAGACGGTGATTTTAGATATATGTGTATAAATCCTCTTTAAATAAGATGTAAAAAAATCTTTCTTGTTAGCAGAACCACAGCTGTGGATCTTTCTTTCAAGGGATGTTAGGCTGGTTCCATCCCCATTCAGCCTCTGGCAAGGAGTTTAAACTGCATTGTTTCAAAAGGCGTTTAGTAGGATTGGGTAGGTTGAGGGGGGAAAATCTAATACTAAATTCTAAATCTCTTTCTGAATGTTTTTAATCTGTCTTTGTTGTGATTTTACTTGTCTTGGTGGGCAGATGGGTGGTGAATAAATATTTTAAGTAAATTAAATAAATAATAGGTAAAGCATATTGATGCCTGTCACATACAGCACTGATGGTACCTGTCTGTCATGGGTTTGGAGGATAATGCATGAGGCTTGCAACCTAATGGAAAATATAAACACACTTTGAATACTAAACTTCAGGAGAGAGGTAAATGGCCCACAGCCCTCAGATACAATCATAGTAGACGGTGATTTTAGATATATGTGTATAAATCCTCTTTAAATAAGATGTAAAAAATCTTTCTTGTTAGCAGAACCACAACTGTGGATCTTTCTTTCAAGGGATGTTAGGCTGGTTCCATCCCCATTCAGCCTCTGGCAAGGAGTTTAAACTGCATTGTTTCAAAAGGCGTTTAGTAGGATTGGGTAGGTTGAGGGGGGAAAATCTAATACTAAATTCTAAATCTCTTTCTGAATGTTTTTAATCTGTCTTTGTTGTGATTTTACTTGTAAATTGTCTTGCAAGTCTTGGTGGGCAGATGGGGGGTGAATAAATATTTTAAGTAAATTAAATAAATAATAGGTAAAGCATTTTGATGCCACGCAGCCCATGCAGTGGAAGCTGATTTAGAAGCACATGCCACAAAGTTCAACCAGCTTTTATCCAATACTAATGTGTAAAGAGCGATGGGGAACCTGTAGCAGAAGGCCACAGTTATTAGACACAGCCCATGCAATGGGAGCTGATTTAGAAGCACATGCCAGAGAGTTCAACCAGCTTTTATCCAATACTAATGTGTAAAGAGCGATGGGGAACCTGTAGCAGAAGGCCACAGTTATTAGCATCCCAGAATACTGGTCTTCCTGGCAGGACTGGAAGGAGGTGGGGGGGCACAGGTTCCACATCCCTGTTGTACAGGATTACAGTTGTATTCACATCCTATGGAAAAAGACACAGTCTTTCCAGGAAATATCATTATAGGAAATAACAACATATTTTTGGACTAAATTACAACTACAGTACATCCACTAAATTGATGGAACTTCTCAAATCAAGTCAGGATCCAATTCATTAATTATGAATGTGATAACTAAACAGCAGCCACTTATTCTTCATATAATGCAGCTGTTTTTCAAGACCTTCTAGGAAAGGAACCTTTTTTCTGATGCAGAAAATTGATAATCATATATAATCAGAACAGTCCATTTGATCTTAATGTTGCTAAGTTTTTAAATATTGTGAACGACACTAGGCCCAAAATGTCAGAATAACTACAGCCTCCTGAGAGTCTAGTTGTATAATGATTTTGTGGTTTTGCTTTTTTTGTTCAATAGCTCAATCTCTGTGTGCAATCTCATATGTGCATGTCGTTCTGTCAGTGTCTCTTGTCTCTAAGAGAGATAATCATGTTGTTGTTGTTTAGTCATTAAGTCATGTCCGACTCTTCATGACCCCATGGACCAGAGCACACCAGGCCCTCCTGTCTTCCACTGCCTCACGGAGTTGGGTAAAATTCACGTTGGTTGCTTCGATGACACTGTCCAACCATCTCGTCCTCTGTTGTCCCCTTCTCCTCTTCCTGCACACTTTCCCAACATCAGGGTCTTTTCCAGGGAGTCTTCTCTTCTCATGAGATGGCTGAAGTATTGGAGCCTCCGCTTCAGGATCTGTCCTTCTAGTGAACACTCAGAGTTGATTTCCTTCAGAATGGATAGGTTTGATCTCCTTGCACTCCAGGGGACTCTCCAGAGTCTCCTCCAGCACCATAGTTCAAAAGCATCAATTCTTCAGTGGTCAGCCTTCTTTATGGTCCAGCTCTCACTTCCATACATTGTATTTCTTCCGGCAATCTTAATTCTGGCTTGGGATTCCTCCAGTCCTGCCTTTCGCAGGTCTTCTCTAGGTGGGGCTAAAAACTGGATTTAGTCCTCTGACACATGAATGATTAGGAGTGTGCAAGTTGTTACTGTTAATTTCAAAGGGTACAGATTGCACCTGACTTGTGAATAACTATGGTCTACAAAGCCATTTAAAAACCAGAAAAGAAACAGTTTTACATAACCTTGGAATAATTTGTATCTCCAGTAAAGAATGTTATTGTCTCAAAATTTTGGTAGAATTCAAGACAAAACAGGCAACTTTCCACGTATTTCCTACCTATATTAAAAGGGTCTCCTTGTACTGTTGGTGAAGGACTCCTTGCTGCTTGAAGAAAGGGATCTGCTGTGGTATTTGATGAACTAAGAAAAGAACCTAGGAGATCTGGGGCAGGCTTCTTGGGACTGTTTCCAAATGGGTCAAAGGCAGTTGCTGCAAGAACAAAATATTTGGGTTATTAAAAGCCAAATATTTGTTTTTAAAAGCATGCACCCATTTTACAGAGAACTTCATGACTTCTTTTAATGGCCAACAGTTCTGTCTCATTGCTCACTTTTCTGCACTTAACATCAAAAAATGTACAGTACATTATTAAGGGTGAGTTTGCATGTATGTTTTCAAGAACTATAGAAGATTAATTTATAGGCTTTGCTTATATGGTTCCATTATCCAGAAGTCTTGCAGTAACATATGTGAAGATATGACATGCTTTTACAGGCTGCTGTTATCAGTGATAGATTACTCTTATTTTGTACTGGGATGTTTTATTCTTCATCATTTATTCTTTGAATCTTATTCATTTTCACCATTGGTTATGTACCTGTTTTACTAGTTGCACCGCTGTTGGGATTTTTTTTCCAGCTTTAGTCCCTTAATATTTCTATAGTTTCATCTTATTCGCCCTTCTGTCTTTGTTGGGTTTTCAATGAATGTACAAGATAGCCAAAAACAGGTTAGTTATGAAGAAGCTAGAAGATTAGTGTACAATTATTTTGGTGGAGAATAAAAAGCCAACTGCATATCTGCAAAGGAACCCTGAACATTTGTGGTGACATCTTCAAAAATTCCATTAGCTCTGGGTGCACTTTGGCAACACTGGTATATATATATCAGTTTTTGTGAAGATTGTTAAGGATTGTCTAGATGGAAGACAAATTTCACCTAGGATCAAGAAACAAGGAGTGGGTTTGTGTGCTTGGAAAATTACACTATGCACAGAGGTACTAAATAACCTCAAAAAACAGATATTGGAAAGTGTTTTCTTTTTGTTTTTTAAACACAATTAACTACTGTTACAAGACCTGAAATAGTAGTTCCTTGCCATCTTAGGATATAATTCTATGTAACCTTTGGCTGTCCCAGTACTCACAAGCAACTGGGATAGTTGTTGTAGCTAATTACTTCAAAGCTTGGTTTTAAAAGGCTGAAAGAAGTAAGACTGAGCAAGAATAAGAAGCAGGGACCTGGAAAGGGAAAATGTGGGAGATAGCAGAAATCTGAAGAAACAGGTGGCAAAAGAAAAGAGCAAGTATTAGGTGAACTGAAATATTGGGAAATAATCATTGATGCCAACCAATACACTTCAAAAGTTGTATTACTCTGGATTCAGTAATTAAGAAAGTATTGCGCGGTAGGATCTTAATTTCATGTGTTGATTTCAGTTATCCATGTACTTTCTCTGAATGGTGATTAACTAGGCAGCAACAATGTCCATTTAACATAATCAGCAATTTCCTAATGGTTCATGTTGCCCAGCTTAGAGTAGGAAAAGCTCACATGACGGCCACCAGAGTGAGAAAAACAACTATCTCAAACCCATGCTGATGGGGTGAGCCGGGAGTTGAGGCACAGATGTCTGCCAACATGTGCTAATCAAGGACACTTGCGGTCACAATCCGAAGTAAACAGGCAGTTACAATCGCATGTTGAAAACCCATCCATGCTGTCACAAGCGGCACTGGTCCCTCAGTGCCAGGCTGAAATCTGAGCCAGGTAAATAATAATGAGACTGTTGTGTCAGATTTCACAGTTCTTTCTGGAAATGAAGTGACTAGAATGACTCAAGGTATTGAGCAGGAACAAAAGAAGGCATTTTGTGTTCTCTTGGGCGAGGAAGCCTTTTTCAGGCCAAGGATTGCAGACCTGTCTGACCTTCTGTGGAAAGCATGCCGTCAGTGAGCGAGACCCCTCACTCATACACAGGTATATTCATCTGCACACATCTAGGCAAAGCACAGCACCCTTTCCCTGCTTCAGCTGCTCAAACAGTGTCCTGTGGCAGGATGCGGCCTAGGATAGAGGCTCCCCTATCACTACTGTGAACAACACTCAGATCTTAAAATTTTGAAAAGAAGATTCATCGAAGCGAAAGTTCCTGTGAACCCACCCCCACTGCATTAACATGTACCCCAAATAGTGCCCTGAATGCTATAGGACAGGGCACTTAGGCTGCTATTGAGGGAGAGAATCAACCACCCAAAACAGCATGGAAGCACCTTCATAGACTAAGTGATAAGAGGAAGAGAAGGGTTTTTTTTGTTTCTGTTCACAGTTCTTACAAGTGTTACTCCCAAAGTGGTCTATATGGACCCTCAGGGGTCGATTTCGACTTGCAGGGGGTCCAAATCAGAGGAAAAAAATTGGGGGTGCAAGTTTAGACTTGTATCAAAGCTTTACAGAGGGCAGGGTGTCTACAGAAAACAAGTAAGTCGGCAAGTGGTCTACGGGGCAAAAAAAGTTTGGGAACCTATGCATGAACTAAGTCAGTTTGTTAGTCCCAATTAAAGGCAACTCGTAAAGCAGATGGGATTTAGGTAAATATTGACTTACCACTGAACTTAAGGTGAATCTACTGCAACTGAGACAAGCAATAGGGTTTAACAAAGATTAATGACTATTGCAAGCAGACCCTTAAAACAAGAGATTCCAGACACAGGGGGAGAATCCTGTTTTACTGCAACTACATAGAAATGAATATATCTTTTTAAAAAATCAAATGCCACAATTATATTATATATATATTACCTTCTCCTACCCTTGGGGACAAAGATGGAGATGCTGATGCTGCTGACCGTCGTGGTGTGGAATGAGCAGACCCACTTCCACCCATCTGAAAGACATCCTCAGCTCCTGTCTGTCCCGCTTGGCTTGGTCCTCCAGTACTGCCAACCCCAAAAAGATCACTCAGCAAGTCTGAATTAGAAGGTGGTGCAGTAGGTGCTGCTGAGAAATTCTTGGTCATAGGACTGCCATCCAAACCTAAAAGATCCACCTCCTCTGGAGGTGGTGGGGCTGGTGGCTCTTGATGCTTCTTGCTGTGCTTTGGTGGCCCATGGATCTTCTCTGTGCTGGTGTTACTGTGCTGACTGGAGAGGGATAAGAGTTCATCATCTGACTGCTCACTTTCTTCATGCACCAATGCTGCCCGGTCCTCAGAGCTAGGGTGGGAGCTGCTTCTCTCTGGCTTTTGATCTAAACAATAAATTTTTAAAGCTTCAAATAAGCTAGTTGTTTTGTTGATCTTCTAATCTCAAGTCATGAAGAAAAGGGCTTTTTTCTTAACTAAGGCAAACAATATCATCGATGGTATTATTCACAATCCAAGTAATTTAAATTATGCTCACAACACCAAAAGGAAAACTATAATACAAACCTGGAAAAAGAACAAGCCTGCATTTTAAGTGATTTTTTTAAAAAACAACAACATTCAAATGCAAAGATGGAAAACAAAATTAGCCTGACATTAGAATTTCAATCAGGATTTGGTCTGATCGAAGCACCATAGAGAGAGATAAACTCAGTGAATTCTAGGTGTGTACTGTCCAGTTCTTTTGTGTGGAACCTGGAATGCTTATGTTCTACAGCAGTGGTGTCGAACTGTGGCCCTCCAGATGTTCTTGGACTTCAACTCCCAGAAGTCTTCACCACCACCTCTGCTGGCCAGGATTTCTGGGAGTTGAAGGCCAAGAACATCTGGAGGGCCACAGTTCAACATCACTGTTCTACGCATTCTTCAGGCTCCCTTGAAGAGAGACATAAGACAAAGGAAAGAAGGTGGATGGTGAATTTCCAAAGATCTTACTTATATACCTTGCCAACTGAGAGATGACAAGAATGCCCCCTGTCCAGCAGTCTTTAGGTTGTCTTGTGGTGCATCTCCAGAATCTCTGCCTATTATGTACAAAGTGAAACCAAACCAAAAATGAGTGAAACTGAAAATGATAAAACTTGGTATTTTTGCAAAAGCAGAAATTTCAAAACGTAAATAATGGTGGTCTTACCTGCCAGGGCAACGGTGTCCTGCTGCTCCTGGTGCGATGAGAAAAGAATGCTTGGGTTGATATCTTTCGTTGTGAAGTTCTCCCATGGAGGAGTCAGGTCTGTCTGTCTGTCAGTAGAATCTATTTCTATCTCCAGCAGAACATGAAACAACTGGGGATATTTTTCTGGTGAATCACATGCGTCCAGTTCAGGTCTAAACATTGACAGAAAGTTCTTCAAATTAAAATAAAAATAGGCAGTATGAAGATGACCTATTAAAATAAAATCTTGAGCCTGAGTTTGGTGGTAACAAGTGTACATTCCATTTTTAGAAAGAAAAAGGGAACAGAAGTCAGGTAGAGCCTAAGCAAGCGGCTGAAGGAACTGAAGGAACCTCCAGTGATGACTCAAAAGAAGAAAAAGAAGAGGAAGATGAGACATGTAGTGAGTCAGAAAACGAACACAAAGTTAAAGTAGAGAGGCACACGCCTAGGAGGTCAAAAAGAGCAAATAAAGGAATCCCACCAAAAAGGTTTGGTGAGGGAATGACATAAGTGTTGGTAAATAAAGTACAAAAGGCACATGGGTAACTCAGGGTACACAAACATGGAAACAAGTGATGACATGTGAGTCAGAGAGGAACATAGTACATAAAATCCCTGAGCATACAGAAGTTTGTAGAATTAACAGAGAAACTGGGAGTGTGTTCTGAGATCCCTACAATTTGGGATCCACTGGCAATGGAGCGGCTAAAAAATATTGTAAATAAATAAAATAAATAAATAGTTACTTAATATGGCTGAAATAACACCAGCTTTCCATTACACACCACAAAGCAGGGATGTACAATTCGCGGCCCTCCAAACCTTCATTGCTCTACAACTTACAAGTGTGTCATTCTTTTTTTTTCTTTCCCTTTTGGACTGCAGCTCCCAGAATACTCCCAAGAATTTCCCAGGCAGAACTTTGGGAGTTTTTTGCACACAGACATGTACCTGCATTTCACTCCTGGAAGAGGAGCCATCTTTCAGGCAGTTTTGGGCCTGTTTTCTATACAAAACAGGAACTGCACCAGTCTTTATGGGGAGTGTAGGCTTGCAGCTCATTAGGCTCTATATAGGGCACCACCAAAAAAGTGTACCGCCTACAAAGATATACGCCTTCTGGGAACCACTTGAAGAGTTTCACGTTTGTACAAGAAGTAGGCCCAAGACAGCCTGGAAGACAGGCTCTGTTCCAGGTGACTGAAATTCAGATGTGTATCTGTGGGAAAGAAACTCCCAGAATTCTGTCCGGGGAGCTATTAGATGATTATAACACTTGAATTTTAAAAAAAAGAATTGCAATTCCAATAATCCCTCATCATTGTCTCTGTTGGTTAGAGTTGATGAGAGTTGCAACCTAACAATATCTGAAGAGCCACAGGTTGCCCATCCCTGTAATAGCACATAGGCCAGAATCATATTGTGAAATACCACAGATATAAGGGAAACAGTACAAGTAGTTTTCACTATTTTCTGGCTGTTTGTCATGTAATTGGATACTCAACTGAGTATGTCACTGACTACGGGGGCTAGGTATGTCCAAACATGAAACAGCCGGCCAGAACAATCACAGACACTAGTCACACTGTTTTGAGTTTATGCTGCACAGACCCATTAGAATTCTGGTAATCGTATCATCATGAGCAGGACAACCAATGCAGTTTCCTTTAGAGACACTGAGGTGATTTTGCTTCATGAACAAGATCTAAGGTATTCAAAGTCTGGAACCAATTATCTGGTCACAAACAAAGTGGGTGATTTAGAGCTGTAACGGTCAAAAGCAGTCCACATGTGCAGATATAAGAAACCTTTCATAGCTGTTTGCAGGGAAACACAATTCCCTTTGTAACATGTGAAAAGCAGAATTGATTCACATTTAGCATTCTTTCATTTAACCTATTTCAGCTCAAAATCTATGCAATACAGAATAATATTAAAATACTATCTTGCTACTTTGCAGACAATATACAACAATATATTTATTAGTCTTAAAAGTGCCACATAACATTTTTCTTATTGTGACAGAACAGATTCATATTTCCAAAATCTGTGAAGCAGCCCCACTGAATATGAAGGTCCTAATAATTATCAAAGCAGGCATCTGCTATTTCCACCCTAACCTTTTCTATAGGTCAGAGCTGGTTCATAGTTTCCTGTGTCAATCCATTCGCAGTTACTAAGCAAAATGTTTAATGGTTTGCCTCAATCTTCTGAACCACCATACATGTTCACTTTGTGGACAGCTAAAGTGGTGTGCCTCAGTGAATCCTGCTTGCAGTCTCAAAACGTATGAGTAGATGGGTAAACATAACCATAAGACCCAAGAGTTTTTTATGATTTCACTGACACAAATAAGTACTGGAAAGAATGAGAAACAAAAGTTCCCTGCATAAATTCAGTTCTGAGCACTTACTTGAAAAAGCATCATTGCATGTTCACCAGCAAACATACAATAGCTAGAAGGTCAGGATATTCTGAGTTCTTACCATTCTTACATTGGTTCTCAACCTTGGGTAACTCTGGTGTTCCTGGATTGGATCAATTAAAATGATCCACCCCTGGAGACTTATGGATCCTGAAGGATTCCTGAATGCTCTAGGGGAGTTTCCAGCTGATAAGGTTGACGCTCCTGTCGAAGCCCAGGTCGCTTTGTGGTACAAGGAGATGGCCCAGGCAGTTGACACAATCACACCTAGGCGCCCTCTCCTTTCCTGCAGAGCCTATATGGCTCCATGGTAAACAAAGGAGCTTCTGGCTATGAAATGGTTGGGGAGATGGCTTGAGTGCAGATGGAGGAAATATTGTTGAGACTATGACCAAACACAGCTTAGAGCCCATTATCGGGCCTACTCTGTGGTGAAACAGCTGGCGAAATGCCAGCATTTCTTTTCAAGTGGTCCCGGACCTTCTTCAGCCTAATGGTTCGGTGGAGGTCCCGGACTGCTCAGTGGCTCGCTGTAATGAATTTGTTACACACTTTGAGGGAAAATTTGCTCAGATTCACAAAGAGTTGGACTCCACTGTTGATGAAGAGCCCATGGTTGTGTCCAGTGCTCTGGATTTATGTCATAATTTACTGGATGAGTTTCAGTTGTTACAACCCGAGGATGTGGACAGAGTGCTTAGATCGGTTCATGCCACCACTACGCAACTCGACCCCTGCCCATCATAACTAAAAAAGGAATCTGCCAGGGAGGGGTTGCACTGGATCCTGGAGGTCATCAAGTCCTTGTTAAGAGGGAGAGTGATCCCCGCCCCATTAAAGGAGGCAGTGATTTGCCCACACCTAAAAAAGCCTAATCTGGGCCTAGGCCTAGTGATCAACTTCTGACCAGTGGCAAACCTCCCTTTTCTGCGCAAGGTGTTGGAACATGTGGTGGCTGAGCACCTCCAGGCTCTCCTGGATGAAATGGATTATCTAGATCCATTTCAATCAGGTTTCAGGCTGGGTTATGGGATGGAGACTGCCTTAGTCGCCCTGTTTGACGACCTCTGCCGGGAGAAAGAGCAGGGGAATGCATCCCTATTGATTCTCTAGGACCTCTCAGCAGCTTTCGACACAATCAACCATGGTGTCCTTCTGGACAGATTGGCTGGGATGGGAATGGGAGACACCATTTTACGACGGTTCCGCTCCTACCTGACTGATCAAGTCCAGAAGGTGGTGCTGGGGGACAGTAGCTCTGATCCATGGCAGTTGCATCATGGGGTTCCTCAGGGCTTTATACTGTTCCCCATGCTATTCAATATCTATATGAAATCGCTGGGGGAGGTCATTAGGAGGTTTGGGCTGAGGAGTCAGCAATATGCTAATGACACACAGCTCTATCTCTCATTCTCTACCAACCCAGGTGTGGCAGTCGCCATTCTGAACTCGTGCCTGGACTCAATAATGGACTGGATGAGGGTCAATAAATTGAGGCTCAATCCAGACAAGTTGGAAGTGATGCTGGTAGGTGCTCCACCAGATAGGTTAAAGCAAAGCAAAGCAAAGCGTGCTGCTTATATCCCACCCCATAGCGCTTCAAGCACTCTCTGGGCGGTTTACAAGTTAATTATGCAGGCTACACATTGCCCCCCCCCCAGTGAGCTGGGTACTCATTTTACCGACCTCGGAAGGATAGAAGGCTGAGTCAACCTTGAGCCGCTACCTGGGATTGAACCCCGGGTCGTGAACAGAGTTTTAGCTGCAGTACAGCAGTTTAACCACTGCGCCATGAGGCTCATTTCCCTACCTTAGTCGGGGTTACACTCCCCCTAAAAGACAGGGTCAGCAGCTTGGGGGTGCTCCTTGACCCAGGTCTGACCTTGGAAGCCCAGGTGGACTCGGTATCCAGGGGTGCCTTCTTACAGCTGCGGAGTATATATCAACTTCGCCCTTACCTGGATGAGCTGAGCCTGGAAACAGTCATGCATGTCAAAATATGGCCTTCTCGGCTGTTGCCCCCCAACTTTGGAATGCCCTCCCCAGAGAGACCCACATGGTTCCAACACTTTTGCCTTTTTGGCGCCACACACAGATCTTTCTGTTTAGTCAGCATTTTAATTAAATAGTATTCTTTAGCTGGCCATATGAGCAGCAGGATTTATTAATATTAATGTTTTAATGATTGATTTTAATATAGGATATTATTATAATATTGCCTATTTTAAATGGTTTTAAAGTTTTTAAAGTATTAATATTGTTGTACGCCACTCAGAGCCCACTGGTAATGGTGCAGCTAAACATTTTTTGTAAATAAATAAATAAACTCCCAGAAGCCTTCACCACCAGCTGTGCTGGCCAGGGTTTCTGGGAGTTGCACTCCAAGAATACTTGGGTTACCCAGGGCTAAGAACCACTATTATAGAATATTCATTCATTAAGAAAAGTACATTTATATCATTATTAGCTAGATTTCTGTGAAATCTACAAAACCAAGCACATAGACTTTTCTTTGGATTTTACTTCTAAATCTGTGGGAACTCATGTAATTAAAATCATGGGTCAAAGCAAAAAGCATTTGCTTTTGGTATAACAATGTATTGACACATCATAAAATCCTATGCTTACAAGGCAGATATTAAGATAAATTGGAAGCCACATTTTCTGTTCACTCAGGCTCCCAAGTTATCTAATAGGTGTTTTTGTTAATAAATCAGCATTTATGCCTTCATGAATGCACCCAATCCATCACTCCGCACAGAGATATCATTCTTGGTTTTGGGATACTCACTTAGTAAATTTTAACAATGTTGTTCCTAGGGCTATGAATCCAGTGTGGAACTGAATCTGGAATATCTGTGTGTTTGTCATCTAAAAGAAGAGATTAAAAACACAAATTTGAAATTAAAGAAAGCCACAGTCTTTCTCCTACATATCACATGCACAAACTAGCCAGTCACTTCTAACTCACTATGGTCCATACGCTTTAAAAACAACTTTGGAATAATTCTGAATTGCAAATGGGAAAATCGTTAAAAAAAGAGAAAACATTTAATTATATAGTACTGGATCCAGGGTTAGTCATACTTAAAGTAAACCATGACTGATTTAAGGCCGATTGATATAATTGTATTGTAATGACTATATCTAGAGCTAATTTTTCTTTATATCCTACAATTTTAACTTCATGTGCAAGGCACAATATCATGTTCCCAAGGTGACTAACAAAACAGTAAGAAACAAAAACAATGAAATATACTGTATGAAGTAACACAAAAAAACTAAAATAGCAGAATCTATCCTATTATGCTCATTCTTTGCTTTCACTCAACATTTATATTTTCTTTTAAATGTGCCTGCATTCCAAGTGTACTGCATAATTCCACATAGCCCTTAGGCAAGGGATGCACAAGACCCACAAATGATACTGCAAACTAGCCCAAATCCTGATGCATAGTTATGCCCATAGTTTCTCAATTTGTATGATTTGTAGTTTCTCATTTCACTTGCAGTTCTCCTTCATTTCTGTGTTTTGAAGGAGATGGCATTGATTCCACTTTGCTAGAGAAAAATACTCTGCTTCCGACAAAGATATTTACATTCCATTCTTACATCCCAAAACATACAAGTACTTTGGGCCACCTGACCATCATGCATGTTTAGCTTTGTGCTTCAGTAGATACACCAGTCATACTTTAGCTTGAAGCCTTCCCCCAATTGTTGATCGCATGTGATAGATGGAAACAACCACATCACCATGGACTGTGACTCCTAATGGAATTATAACTTTTCCTTCTTGGACACGGAATTCCCTAAAGAAAAATAAAGCAACATGCCTCATGTAACATTGATGAGAAATCTCAGAGCATAATTTACAGGGGGAGGACACAATAAAACTATTATAGCCACACATCTAGTTACATTATTACCAAAAATAAATATTTTTTCTTTATAAGCCAATCTATACACTGGAGTTCTATATACCTGAATTAAGTTGTTGCAACCAAAAAAATGTATGTTGCTGCGCCAACAGTATAAAAGGCATTCATGATCTTGTCCTCAGTTTTCAACTTGCATCCTAAAAAGTGTAGTCTTATTTATTTTACAGGTTGATGCATTTCTCACATAGTATTTGACATTGCAATTTCTATGCAAGACACGTATCCATGCATAATACACATCTGCTCCATTCTATATCTTTCTGCATGATAATCATATGGAGGGAGAAGGAAGAGAAGGGTGAGAGGGAGAGGGGGAGAGAGAGAGAGAGAGAGAGAGACTGAGCTACACCTTGGCTGAAATCTTGTGGGTTAGCATAGTAAGTCGGAGTAAAGTAGGCCCATTAAATCAGTGATGATTTGGTGTATCAACACCTCCATAAGTTCCATTGATTCAAATGGGCCTACTCTAGCTGCTTAGTATAATACGTTGCAACTAGAATTGGCCCATTTGAACCTTATGAAGGAGTTGGCTCACTAAATTCCTACTGATTAAATGGTCCTACAGTGGACCCTCTACTTATGGAATTAATCCGTATTGGAACAGTGGCTGTAAGTCGAAAAGTCTGTAGGTCGAATCTACATTGACCTACAATGCACTGAAAACCGATTAATCCCACAACTGGCAGTTTTTATTCTATTTTTGTTCCATTTTGGTTTTTTTCTGGTCTGTAGGTCGATTCTCCGGCTGCAAGTTGAATCTAAATTTTGCAGCCAGAGAAGTCTGTAACTCGAAAAGTCTGTAAGTCGAGCCGTCTGTAAGTCGAGGGTCCACTGTACTTTAGTGCGATGTACTATGCTAAGCAACAGGAATTCAGCCAATGAGTACAAACATTATTTCATACAGTCTACAAAAAAAGACTGAAAATTCTGGGCACGTTTAGCCCTGAGAAAAGACAACGGGGGAGAATAACGATAGCACTCTTCAAATATTTGAAAGATTGGCATACAGAGGAGGGGCAGGATCTATTCCCAGTTATTCCAGAGGGAATATAATAAGGGGGTCAAGTTACAGGAAGACATATTTCAAATGAATATCAGGAAGAACTTCCTAACTGTTAGAGCAGTACAGCAATGAAAACAATGGCTTCTGGAGTAGTGAGCTCTCCAATAGTGGAGGTATTTGACAGAAAGCCAGATAGCCATCTGTCAGATATATTTTAACTTGTATCCCTGCATTGAGAAGGGAATTAGACTTGATGGCATTATAGGGCTTTTCCAACACCATTGTTCTATCATTCTGTGAAAACAGAATTACTAGTAGACAGTTATCACATTTGAAAGAATGCCCTGTTTAAGCATTTGTATCCATACTCAATACACAAATGCGGACATACACTTTGGCAATCCCTAGCTCACAAGTGACTGGTATCAAACTGATAGGAGCCTAGGTAAATATGGATATACACTCATAACCCCCTTCCCTTCCATGAGGAAAAAGTTCCATTTTCCATGAAAGAACCTATATGCACACAGGTCCTCTTCAGACCAATGCCCATCAGGCAACAGCCATTTAAGCTGCAGGGGTAGTGTAAACATTTGAGATAGCCCCTTTCCATATTCAGTACCCATGGATACCATACCCTCTTCCCAAAGCAGACATTGTGTTCAGACAGCATTCTAAGTAACTACAGGAGGACGTACTTCATTCTTTCATATTCTTGTGAGGTGGTAAAGATTCTAGTTTCTCCAATAAGAATATCACAGAAAGGCCGGCAACCATTTCTTTGCTTGTTGAAACAAGGTACTGGACTAAGGAGGATGGATTTGATCGTTAGAGGCTTGCAGTGAGGTTGAATGGGCTTGTCTGCAGCTAGATCACAAATGTATCCTATGTACCTGCAACAAAAAAAAAGTCAGAGGGAACTATTCATATGACAGTTCTCCACATTTCAGTTCTATTTTTAAATACCAACATATTTGCAGCGTATTCAGCTTGCCACTATCTAATATTTTCATTAGCATAAATCTTGCTGTCATGGGAAAGGAATGCTATACTTTTCATTTTTGGTGTAGACTTATTAAGGGTCTAATAGTCTCCCCTGCCTTTTATGTTCCATACAGGGTAACTCGAAGGAAACTAAAAAGGCAAAGGTTCCCCTTGACAATTTTTTTTGTCCAGTCGTGTTCGACTCTAGGGGGCAGGGCTCATCCCCGTTTTCAAGCCATAGAGCCAGCATTTGTCCGAAGACAATCTTTCTGTGGTCACATGGCCAGCGTGACTTAGACACAGAACGCTGTTACCTTCCCACCGAGGTGGTCCCTATTTATCTACTCGCATTTGCATGCTTTCGAACCACTAGGTTGGCAGGAGGTGGGACAAGCAATGGGTGCTCACTCCGTCGCATGGATTTGATCTTACAACTGCTAGTCTTCTGACCCTGCAGCACAGGCTTCTGCAGTTTAGCCCGCAGTGCCACCACGTTCCTTAGGAAACTATCAGGCCCTTAATGTCTTACAGTTGCTACAAGGCTTAGTTCCTCCAAACCACCTCCTCCATCTTCATGTGGACTGGGAATGAGCACTTTCACCTTAGCTGTAAGTAATTTAAAACACCCATAATTCTGGCTGGGAAAATTCCTGCAGACCTCTGAGGGTTGTAGTTCAGAAAAAATATGAAAAGACATGGTAATATGGTGAACACCTAGGTTGGAATGCAGCCTTAGGAATTCAAAAGTCCAAAGTACAGTACCAACAAATGGAATTGTTGTCAGCATGCCTTCAACCAGTTATGAATTTCAATGAACAGAATCCTATTGATATTTATGGAAAGTTTTTATAATATGTCACAGCTAATTTCATCTAATTTGATGCAGTGCCAGGATGTGTCTCAGTCATGTGCCTGATCCCACATCCCTGCATCTCATTAAGAACCCTGATACTGGTCAAAAATAGCTTAATTATCTTAACCTTTTAATGTGTTTTAAATTTTACCTATATTTCAGAAAAGTCCATATTTTGAAATTGCATAGCACTCCGATATGGATAAAGAAAAGAAGAAGATCAATTAGCCATGACAAATTAAGCAAAACGTACACAAACATCAATAGAATACTAGCCAGTAACTTGATAAAATGTATGCCCATTAATTTCAGTGCCATTGCACAACTGTTAAGTTTTGAGGAGGAGTGGAATTCACTAAAATCTACTTCCCAATAAATAAACAGGTGTTAGGAGATGAGATCACATGCCATATGATTAGACTTTTGGTCAGCCAGGAAGCCACTGTGCCCTACCTTCTGTGGGATGGCCAGAGCACGATTCCTGGCCTCTTTGAATTTAGCAATTGAATAGCAGGAGCTGGATTAGAGAAGAGATGACAGAAACAGAACATTGCACTGACCAGGACTGCTGATGCTACACGACCATCCTGTCAAATAAATGCAAGAGCATCCATCAGGAAAATGTTAGTCTCTAACTACCTTTTATATCTAATCATGCAAGGTCATTTGAACAAGGCTCCCTCAGAAAAGACATTTTCATGCCACAACAGAAATTTCACAGAAACGCATAAGGTGCTCTTTTCTGAGTAAACGTGTACAAGATATAGCTGATAATCAACACTCAGTTTTAAATTAAGGTTAAAACTAATGAATAATACACCTTTTGATAAGTAGATTTTGTTGATTTTTAATAAACAGTCAAGAAATGACACAAAAGATGAGACATGCCGGGGACACGCTTAGCATGAAGGTGAAGCTGTCACCTCAAGCTGTGGAGTCTGGAGCGACAAACGCACTGTTCCCCATTCTCACAACTCAGAAGGCCCCATTCACTGCCAGTGTGTACTGTTCTCCAAAACTACCACACGACCCAGTCCTCCTGAGGGAGGGAGCTAGCCTTGTTATTTGAGATGGTGGCTCCTTCACACTCTTCCCTATAGGCTGCCAAAGCAGAAGAAAGCCGATGGTACGACATTGAAACTAGCTTTAGTTTAGAACCATCTGTTTTGGAAATGGCTGCCTATGAAGCATCCTCAAGGCAAGGGTAGTAGGAGGGGATGAGATGGGAAGGGTCTTTAGAGCTAAGTAGTCACAAAATAGCTAGCCAATCTCTATGTTGCACCACCAATCTCCTACTTCTTCTTCAGGGGCCTGCAGGGGAAAGTGTAGAAGCATCACAAATGTTGCCTGAATTGGAATTATGGCCTTCCTCTCCGGGGCAATGTCTGCTGGCTGAACAATTGCATGTGCCGGCAGTATCTGGTGTTCAATAGTCAGAGGCAGTGATGAGGGCAGTCAGCACTGTGCTTTTTATCTCAGGCAGCAAAATAACTTGGACCCTCCCTGAGCTATGCCATTTTTATATAGTTCCTTTAATGAAACAAGTGTTCACAAATTCCCCTTCTTTTCTAACAGCTGAATGTTTAATATTTACTTAACGATAACAGCAATTGATTGCAGACACCCCAAAGCATCATATAGAGCTAACTTGCACTCATTAAATAATGCCCATGTAGTCTACAAGGCCATACTTAGGTCCAGTGTAGAAGCTAATTTAAAATTTGGTTCCATGTGGGTGTAAGCATTTGTAAGCCTCTTGCTGCATGTTTCAATCTGGCAATGGCAGAGTCTCCACACCAGTATTGTATCTCCCTGGCAACAACTGACTCTGGGTTAGTGACTCTCCATGCCGCTGAGTAGGTGGCTATAGAAAACTGCCATCACTGCCAAGCCTTCACATTGCACCATATAAGGAAATATGCACTGAGAGAACCAACTCGGATAATCAGGAAGAAATCAGAATAGGCTGGAAAGGTCTTTTCCCAGAACAGAGAGGCTCTGTGAGAGGAGAGCACCTCTGGCCCCCCAGCAGATCAGTTACAGCCACCTAACTCTGAATGGCTAAAATTCTGTTGCACAACGTTATGCTGTACAGCAAAGATGGTATCATCAGCTGCAGTCAAGCCTTAGCCATTTTGGGCAGTGAAATACTTCCAAGAGATTCCCCGGCTTTTGAGAACACTGAGGGATCCCTTTCATCCTGGGACAGCCTTCAGGAGCCACAGAACAAGATAATTAAAGCAAGACAATTGCCACTACCAGCTCCAGCAGCCAGACCAGGATTGGCGGCTGTGATTTTCTGCCTTTTAAGTTATTCTTCTTCCTAGTCCATGGCTCCCAAAGTCTGCCCCAGGATGAAGTGGATCCATAAAGGATCCCCAAAACCATAGCAGGCTCTACAAAGTTTTTTATTTCCCTGAAACAGCCACAACTAATGATATTATCCTTGCTAAGCAGCAGGACTGTGACATCAGGATTTCATCCAATGCGTATAAATGGGCTAACCATCAGTAAGCACTCAAATGGAGCATTCAAGGAGTGGGGCAAGATGGAGGCATCCTTGGATGCACTGCACCCTGGCAGGGCCCCCAAAACAGGAACTTGCCTCCACCAGCCTGTATTTTCTTTCTCACGTGCTTTATTTCCCCTCCAACATGTTCTCCTGTACTAGTTTGTATTTTAAAAAAAAAACAATAGGGAGAAGAAGGAATATACATACCATCTTCCCACCCACCCACCTTTTTTTTCTTTTTGTCAAGAGAGTTTTGGAAAGGATGGACCATCCATTTCTTTCTTTCCTGCCCTTCACAATGCTAGTTATAACTACTTTGTAACACTAGACAAAAATTTACTCTCAGTCAACCGGGCCATTGATTTTTGATGAAATTAAACCAACTATGTTAAATTCATTGAAGGGACTCTTTGTTCTATCAATACTTGCAAAAGCTAAAGATTGTAAGTGACAACACAAAAATGCAAGTTCCTCCTCTCAAAAAAATAAAGTATGCTATTTTCTTTAACACAATTTTTAACCTGTATGCAAACTTGTGCAATCAGACTAAGAAGTATACCGTGACAGGCTTACTGAGATTAGATACAATCAAACATAAGCAAGTCTTAGAAGTAACATTGTTCAGTGCAGCTGCATATGTATAGCAAAAGGACTTCCCTTCTCTCTACCTGTTTTCTCATCAACAAGTAGAAACATCTGGAAGTTGAGTCATGGCAACTAGACGTCTTTATTATTAGGTTGAAACGTTTCACTATTTTTCCGAGTAGCTTCTACAGTGTCAGGACAGTTGGTAGGAGACCTCTGATATATCCTCCATTTTGGTTTCACTTCACCCTGGTCTTTACATGGATAAAGGACTGGGGATGAGTGAAAATCCCATCTCTGCAGTCCTTCTCCACCTACTGTCATAGGTCATTAACAGTCATTAACAGTGGTCTTTCTGGTGTGTGGTCCTGATCTTTCTGGGGATGGATGAAAATGCAGAATGATAAATAGGAGACAGATTGTATCTAAAGATGAGTAGGGAAACGTTTCAGCCTAATAAGAAAGAAGTTCAGTTGCCATGACTCAACTTCCAGATAACCTCACCTGGATGAGTGAGAATTTTCACAAGCAGATACATGTATAGCAGGAGATCTCAGAATAACAATCATAGTAAACATTCTGTTTTCTACTGTAATATTGGCTCAGGGCCAGAAAATTCTACTGTAAAATTCTATCAAGGTTATCATTAGCATCATGATGTGGACTGAATGATATGCCTGTTTTAACCTGAGTTCTTTACATTGTTTACATACTAAATCAGCAGATTTTCAACAATTTCTAAACCATTTTTTCTTACAAAACAATAGCCCAAATCCTCTTACCTACTTAAACTGGCATAGCACAAACAGCATAACTTTTGTAGGTGAACTGCTCCAAGTTATGAAATCACTTTACACATTATCAATGGCATACTGAAATGTATGACACATTGTGCAACTGAAAAATATCTATGGTGGTTTCTTAACTTGAGGCACTTTGCCTTCAAAGGGTACATAATTTCCATACCTACACAATAGGATTTTGGTTGATATTAATTTATAACAAGAGTTGTTTTTAAAATGCTTCCCCCTGTAAGGTCCTACTTTTAAGTATAAAGATACACTGACTGACTGTTTCCTGTTAGCAAAAAAGAGTGGGAATTTCTCCCAGCCTGGACATTTGCATGATGCAATGAGTAAAAAAAAAAGACAGCTATATGACTGCTGTGGCAACAAGATTGGAAAACAAAGGAACAGTATGGACAGGCTACAAAGTTGGATACTTTGAATGGCTCCATGCCCAGAGTGTACCCTGATAAGATGCTATGATCATATCATATGCCACAGGACAAAAGGATGATTTAGTCTCTGGGAATAAAGAACTGAATACTGAACCAGATTTTCTGTATACAGAACTGAATGTTAGGGGTGGATCAATATTCCTGCATGTTCCCCTGAGTCTTCAGGCATCCATTCCTTCAAATAGGTACCTATATGTCTTTCCTTCTCAATTTTTAGGTCAAAGACAGCTAATCAGCTGAGAATATAGTGAGCCTGAACTGGCAGTAGATTAGGGGCAAATATAGTGCTTCATAACGCATTAATTCTGAAAATAACTATATTTTCATCTGATACTTTAATCCAAATTGTTCTTTTCAATTTCATCATTGCACTGTATTATGTTAGAAATTCATTGATTTCTCTTTGATTTCTTGTATAGTGTGCCTTTATTTCAAAGGTCTTCCTCTCTGTTTATCTTCTGTGATTTAAATAAATCATCAAAGCAGCCTCAGATCATCTCTGGTTACACCTTTTGCCCACTGGGGCAAATAAAGGACCTTAGACACACAAACACATACATACACAACTCTTTGTTTTTCTACAAACAAGTTGACTCTAATTAAACATCTTCCAAAAGTGATTACTTACTGCCTGACTTACCATACAGTGGATGACACAAACATTTTTAGGGTTTTGTTGCAACCAGTTGTGCATATTCTTACATACAGCATAGAGGTTGTGGAGACTTGGGGCTTGTCTAACTGGCCAACTACATTCAGATACCTGAAGAAGTGACACAGTGAAAACAGATCAATTTGGATTATCAAAATAACACAGCTGGAAGGTAACTGTACATGTCTACCCTGAGGAAAATCTCACTGATTTTAGTAGGGAGGTACTTTTAAGTAAGAACTGATATATACGCCTGGGATATAAGACTTGGTGCTTGATGCTACACAAAGTAGTTAAAACAGACAGTACAGTTAAGGGCATCATTACAAGGGGAGCTTCCTTAAGTCGTAAAATTCATTTATTTATCCTAACTTTTCAGCTTGATAAGATCAATTTGCCTTTGTTTTCTGATTAATCATCAGCTCTAAGCTTAGACTTTCTTTGCAAATGCTCTTTCAAACAGGTGGTAAGTGATGGTACTTTCTGTGAAGTTTCTCTGAACTCTTTACATAAATAAGAAAAAAAGTACAGGATTATAATGAGAAACATTTGTAGAACTCTATTAAGGTAAGAGAATATGCAAACGTTTCAATACAAGTTGGTTGCAGTTTGACAAGTTATATCCAGACTAAAGGGAAGAAATGGTAATTATCTGACAACTTCATTTCCTAGGCTGCCATTCAGCGAGGCCTGCTTATTATTTTTTTATTTATACGATTCATCATTTAACTCATGGCATCCCCTGGATGTATATTAGATCTGCAGATGAAATTGAATTAATATCAAAGAAGAAAAGTTTCTTTTCCCATGACAGTGCTATAAGGCAGCCATTCTTAACGGGGGCCATATGGCCCCCAGGAGACCCTGGCACACTGGAAGGAGGCCACAGACTGGAAACAATCTTCACACATCACCTTATAAGGTTTATTACGCGACTTATACAATCCCAATTCAGCCTATATTTCTTTAATATTTTGGCCATAGCCAAAAAAAAAAAAAGGTTGAGAATGGCAGCTTTAGGCTATGAAGAGCTAGAGTCCCTGGAAGGGTTTTTCTCCATTCAGTTTCCTTCCACTGCTTTACAATTAATGAGGTTTCATATGCAATTAGTCTAGATTGTCCACTGTTGCTACCCAAATCCCATCAGTGACTGTCAATATGACCAATGAACCATAACGTAAATATCCTCTAACTAGGCCTCAGGACATCTGAGTGTAAGCTATTAACTGGCTACCAACAAATCACCACATTTAAGGGGGGAAGCAGCCACAATTATGCATGTGCACATACACATTTAGAAAACACAAAAGCATCAGTGTCTGCTCCTCCATAATACTGTTGGAGAGCTGTGGGACCATGGAAGCATAATGTGTTTGAGCTTAAGTTTCACTCCCTGAACAGAAACAACTTCCTTTCACTCAAGGAGAGTTCCACTCTTGGAAGAGCCTCCAACATGAGCAGAAAAGCTGTCTGCAAGCACAGGCTGTAAGCCCTTGCTATTCATGAAGTGAAAACTTAAGATCAAAGCAATTATGCACTAGTATTTCGAATACCTCTGGTTTCTGTTGGCATGATATAGGGCAATTTCTTGTAGCAGCCAACTATAAAACCTTCAAAAATCCGTACAAGGTTAATAACTTTAACTTTCTGGCCAACCAAAAAGACAGCACAAAAAGTTTTCCAAGAGAAGCAACTCTTGATCTTGCAAGATTTTACAAAAGCAAATGGAGAAAAACTGATTGGAAAAGGAGAATAAAGGCAGAGCCTTAAGCCCTTGTCTCCACATTTTTTTGAGATGTAATGGTGGAGTCGGGATGCAGACAACAGAATGAGACTCATGAAGTAATGCCATGATCTTAGATTTCACTGAGATCCCACAGACATGCTGGGAGCTGAAAAGTTAGAAAAGTTGATCTTACACAATATTATCACTTTATTACGGAACGTATTAATTAAAAACTAATTATAATTCTTGTAAGGTGAGGGAGGCCAGAATCTAATGAGTACTTGCACTGATGGAAGAAGCCCCATCAGCTAAGGTAGCTTACAAAGTCAAAATGGCATAAGGAAATAAAAGAGGTCATTCTACTTGCCCAGCAATCAAAGGCATCTACTTCTGATGCCCCTCCCAATTCCACCAGCAACTCTGGTCTTGATGGCTTCCTAACCCTCCATAGCAAATGTCAAAGGCTGACAAGGGCTGCAGGAGAATGCAAGATCACCTCTTTCTGGATCCAGCTTCCATCAGTACAACTACTGTATTTAAATGTGGGCAAATTCTCAAGCAGAAGGACAGGCTTTTCAAGTGTTACTAGCTATAATAATAAGAAATATCTCTCTTTAGTTAGACATTCATAACCAGCTGTCTTGCACTATATGGTCCTCATCTACCAAACTGTAAACTGGTTGTCTGTTTCACTGCCCTTCTCTTTTTAAGGTAGTTGAACACAGTAACAACATCATTATACCAGTAGAAATGCATTACCCTATTATGAAACCTGGTTGTACGATAAGACTTCGGTGATAAATTGAAAACTGTGTAGTGATCGGGATGTCTTGAATCCAAGAACGTCCGTACATCATCTATATGATTTCTAAATCCTAGTTCAACACCTTCACCAGGAAATGACATCACTATAAAGAAATGAAAGAGACACATCTATACTGTATTCTGAAACAGAACAGACACAAAGGAAACAGTTTAAGAATAAATTACTATATCTTTGCATTGTCTGAAGTACTGAAATACTTACCAATAATTCTTGAGGTAATATAAGAAATATCTAGCTCTCCCTTGGTGTAGCTATAAAAAAAAGAAAACAATGGCAACAAAAGACAAGAAAATAGATGTGCGTTAATACAGACATATTCAGATTCTGAAAAAGTATTTACAGTATGTAAGGCAGACCTGGGCAAAGTGCAGCCCATGGGCCACATCGGCCCGCGAGCCACTCCTGTTCGGCCCACCAGTTGTCGCTCCAGTCCGGCCTGCCCGTCGCCACTCCTGTCCAGCCCGTCCATCACCGCTGAGTGAGCCGGAACACTGGCTCCGGTTACCCAGCATGGCAGTAAGCAAAACTCGCGAGATCCGACACTGGGATCTTGTGAGTTTGGACTGTTACTCTTGAGCTGCAGGCTGTGGAGCCTGTGGCTGAAGAGGCCAGATGCAATCCTTGTGCAGGCGACGTGATGACTCATCACGTCGCCTATGCAGGATAGAAGACAGTCAGAGAGGAAGGCCGCGGGGGAACGGAGGACGGGTAAGTTAGCTCAGTGTCGGGGGGGGTGTTCTTCCCCCCCCCATGGTGAATGAATTACAATGCTCACATAGTTAACTCCCTTAAAAGTTTAGGGAGTTAATTATGTCAGCCTTGTAGTTCGTTCACTGCAGGGCCTCACTCAATGGGGGCCTATTACTACCCACAAATTGGGGGCCTATTACTACCCACCAAACGGGGGCCTATTTTTAAATAAAGTTGGTTCGGCCCCCGAACACAGTTCAGATTTTTCATGTGGCCCCCTATAGAAATTAATTGCCCACCCCTGATGTAAGCCATGTTTTTACAATCAACTTTACTTATGTTACTTTAAAAACCTGACTACCAGTTATCTACCACATAACTATGAATTTACCTGATTATATTTGCTTAGCAAATGGAGATACACACACACCCATAGCACTCAGTAAAGTAAAGCACTTCCCCACATTTTGGGTTTCTGTCCTTTACTTGTTGAATTCATGTTATTTCATGATCCTGTGCTGAACCATAAAAATGTGACATGTGTGGAAAAAAACACAACATACTGATTGTTAAAATGCTTTTCCACAATAATGCAATTGGTTGTAGTGAACCAATAAGAAGTCTCACTTTAGTAACAAATGACTTGCACTTTCAAGTGCTCCAACATTAATGTTTCGGAATTACAACTTACTTTGTAATAGCAAGATTTATCACCCCATGTTCCTCTTTGCAAGCAGATGTACTGAATTGCTACTAAATAATATTGTACTGTCTACTGATAAAGGAGTCTCTACCACAAAACCTCAGTCCATTCAGATCTAGGAATGAGAAGAGCAGGCAGAAGGATGAGCAGCAGAAGGGAAACAATGGCTGCACCAACTGCCTTGAATATTAGGAAACAAGTAGTGTCCTAAAATCCAGTAAAACATCCACCACCAATTTGTCTGGATGCTAAAGAAGGATCTTCTGTTGTCCCATGTGCTTTCCAGAGAGGTATAGAACAGAACAGGACATCTAGAAATGTATTTGGATAGAGAAATGAAAAGCAATTCAGGTGTGTTTGTTTCACAGTACCTTGCAACAGATTGCATAACTTTAGTAGAAGTATCTTTAAGAGTATCCTTCAGATTATCCTTTAAATTGCTGAAGAGTCTCCCTGCTCCTCCTTTCACCATATCCAGTAGGCCACCCCCATAGCTAGACTCCATGTCAGGAGATGAGGCACCTTGAAAATAAATAAATAATAAATAAATAAATAAATAAATAAATAAATAAATAAAGAAAGAAAGAAAGAAAGAAAGAAAGAAAGAAAGAAAGAAAGAAAGAAAGAAAGAAAGAAAGAAAGGAGTAAAGATCATTTTTTTTGGCAAAACGTCAAGGTATCTGCTGAATTCAATTTCCAGATTTTATTTCAATAATAACAATGCAGCTTACTAGAAGAAGAAATCAGATCTATAAATGCCAATGAAGGCACATTGTGGCATTTGACAAAATAAGATTGAGACATGTTATTTAACTCGATCACAGAGATAATAACTAAAGCCCTCTCCAGGATCATTTTTTTTGGCAAAACGTCAAGGTATCTGCTGAATTCAATTTCCAGATTTTATTTCAATAATAACAATGCAGCTTACTAGAAGAAGAAATCAGATCTATAAATGCCAATGAAGGCACATTGTGGCATTTGACAAAATAAGATTGAGACATGTTATTTAACTCGATCACAGAGATAATAACTAAAGCCCTCTCCAGGAAGCCTGCATACACATTTCTATCCTTTTCCAGCTGGACTGTGAATTCACTTCAGTGTTCAAGATTGATGTGAGCTCATTTGAGGAGAGCAACTGGCAACAGTTGTGCAGGATGTTATTGGCAGCAACAAATTCTGATTCATAGGTTACTGGTCAGAAGCAGGTGCTACAGGACCTGGGAGAGCTCCCAGAAGCTGTCAGCATAACAAAGCCCCATCTGAGTCATAATATTGGCAACAGCATGACCTTCTATCTGCAACACTGCACGTCTGGAGTAAAGCTAAAATTACTCAGCTGAAGATACAATCTCTTGTACTTCTGAATGGCTTTGAAGCACAAATGGATAAGTGATTAAGATGTTTCTGCAGTCAAAAAAAGGCCTCATGTCTTGACCATCTCTCACAAACACAAAGGGTAAAGGGGTCACAAGACTTTCATGACTGTTATATGCATTTTCTGGACAAAGGAAGCCTATGGTTACCTCATATCTTCAGAGTTTAAATATACTATCCATTCTGAGCATTAGTGATACACACTTCAAGGCATTAACTTGTGAGGCTCATACTGTGATCCATCCATATATTTCCCTGTATAATCCAAGACTAGGTCAATGTTGATGGTGTGCACAGTGGTATCTACGCACATTCAAATCCAGAAGAGTGATCTGTCTTCTGGTATCCTCTTGTTCTTGGACAATCAACATCAGAACAATTGCCCCAGAGTTTGTTCCACAACTCTGTTCCACAACACTCCAGCCAGTACTTGACTCCAGCAGGATCACTCTCATGCCGAGGGAGGAAGAAGATCCACACATCTAAGGTGACATGGATCTCTGCACTAGAGTATATAATGAATAATAACTGTGTGCCATCAAGTTGTTTCTGGCTTATGACAACCCTTTTCAGAGTTTTCTAGGTAGAGGGAACTCAGAGGCTTCTTGGGGTTCCTGGGGACTGTGCAGCTTGCCCAAGGCCACACAGGCTGGCTCTTCTTCCCAGGAGGCACATTGGGGAATCGAACTACCATCCTCTGGCTCCACAACCAGATACCTAAACCACTGAACTATCCAACTAGCTATTAGGATATATATGAACATAAAAATAGAAGATGAGACAAAAAGTGTAATCTTGCAGAGTGATGTGGAAAGAAATCCTAATAGTGCAGGAGTAGGAAATTTGTGCTCTCCAGAAGCTGCTACCCGACATCCCCCAAAATCAGACATAACTGCTGGATAGCTCAGTGGTTTAAGTGTCTGGCTATGGAGCCAAAGGTTGGGAGTTTAATTGCCCACTGTGCCTCCTTGACAGTGACTGGACTCAATGATCCATAGGGTCCCTTCCGGTTCTGCAGTTCTAAGACTATTATAATGGGAGCTACAGTTCAACAGAACCTGGAGGGGGCCAGCTCTTTCCTCTCTGTAGCAAAGCTTTCTTCTCCCCTACTGGGTCACATCTATGCTGCCAGGGTGCAAACAGCATAATGGTCAGCCATTCAGTCCAAGATATAAAGTTGTTCACCCAGCAAAATGGAAGCAGGGAGTGAAAAGTTTTACCAACTCCTATGGAGCAGCTCTGCAGATTCATCTTATGTGATCAGAATTACAACTAAATAACGCAGAGGGGAAAAAATCCAAAATGTTTTATGCACTAGTCAACAAGACAACATGTAGAATCCAAAGAGCCATCTCATGCATGCTCAAGGATTTGCAAATACTTAATGTACCTTTCCCTTCTGCCTGTTCAAGAAGAAATTCTCACATACACATGACAAATTATATACCATAGATATTCCATACAGCCAAAACATATCCAGACTTTATCATAAACTATTGTCCAGCATGTTACTCTTCTGTTGCGAAAGCTTATGTCTATAATAGAAATCTTTTACTAATTCAGTTCTTAGTTTTCTATTGGATGGGTTTAAAAAAAGAAAAAAAGAACCAAGAATACAGCTAGCTGCTTCTTATTTAGCAACCTCATTAATAGCCTTATTGGCAGAGTGTATTTGGTCCTGCAAGAGTTCACCAACTAACTACATTCCCTCCAAAATTTGGCCAAGTTTATTGGCCAAATTTTGTCCCCTGTACTGTCCCCTGTACTTCTCATTCCCTTGCCATTCCTACAGATTGGTCTCTTCAAGCTAACATGGACTAAAATGTTTTCCTTATTTTTATTTTCAGACAAAAGGCTAGTATCATGCTTAAAATTGTTGTCTAAACAACCATGACATAAAATATAGTCAGGCACACTAAAAAGACAGCCAGAGATGCTACCACAACAAAAGCTGTATGGATGATCTGATCATGCTATTCAGTTCCCAGAAAACAAAGAAGCTAATGAAATGGGTCTTTCTGTTTTAAAAAGGAGAAAGACAAACCAGACATTGTCTATGAGACTGCCTTGTTTTGATTTCACTGATACAGAGACATCCCTTGGCTTATTTACAAAGCAAGTATAGAAGCTTCTTAAAATTCAAATAGTTTGAACAGTTTTAGCACTTTAGTGTATTTATTACTATTTAGGTGGATCACTACTACTTTTTCATCTGACCCACTATAGGAATCCACAATTCACAATCTTTTTTTTCATTGAACTTTACTGATTTGCAGCTATTTTGGATTAGCCCACCATGGGCAAGAAACATTTACCTGTATAACAAACCTAAATATTGCTGCAAGGCTTGGAACCTGATCTGTTGTTGTTGTTGTTGTTGTTGTTGTTGTTGTTGTTGTTGTTGTTGTTGTTGTTGTTGTTGTTTTGATGGTTACACAAAAGGGAACAAATTATTGCTTGTTTCCACAAAAATCTGCCTAGATATTAAACTCAGAGCTCTTCCCTCCACCACCCAGGACAAAAGATGAACAAGAAGCGTCTTATGAGTAGCGCCACTCCAGTATGGGAACTTACTGTCCCCCTGCTGCAAAATGAAGACATTTTTATTTGCAGAAGTCATTCACACATGTTTAGATTGTTTAAGCTTCTACATGAAACGTTTGCCTTGTTTTTCATTTTCTGTTCATATTAATACACATTTGAGAGTTTTGTTGGCTTATTAATTCTAATGACTTGGTTGATCATTTTGTCATTATCTTTAAATACTTTGACAATTTCAACTGAAGAGGAAGATAATGGTTTGATGCAACCAACACATGGCAAGAGGCACTCTCCAATTAACTACAGTAAGATTCTCTATCATGGTTTTATATACAGTAACCCTCTTGGATATGCAGCTTAACACAGTTGAATGTTTGATTGTATCAGGGAAGAACAATATCATCAGGATGCTAGACTCCATTAATACTCAGGACTCCCAACAGGACTCTTAACAAGAGTAGAATATAAATGAAATTTACTGAGTAATTATAAGAACTGACATTCCATCCTACACACACAAACAAAAGCAGAAAAATCAGTGTCTATGTGCATTGTTAGAATTACTGGACATATTCAGTGTGACTATTAAGAATGATAGAATTAGTGGTGGTGAAATGCAGTGTATAGCTGTAGACGTGTTCCTATTTGTGCAGCTATTATAGTTGAATTATTATATCTTCCTATATTCTTTCAGCAAAGTCTGCAGAAAACCTATTAATATAACAATAAAGCATTGTGTAGAAATGTGTGCCTGTACCATAAAAAACAATATTAATTTAAAATGTATTAAATATTAGGTCTGGAATGCATGGACTATAAATTTCAGAGTAGCTCACAATATGCATTTCTAAAATGTGAATGGCTAAATTAATGAAAATAAATAAAAGCGAAACCTTTCACGCCTGATTTTTTCAAGCATTAAAGTTTAAAAGGAAAAAGAAATGCTTGAATGAGAAACAAGTCCTAGAAATTCTCCTCACTCAATCACATTTATTAAGTGTGAACGTTCACACAATTCTTAATACTTTACAAGATACATCTTGAATCTGAAGATCAGATTTTTGGGGGGAACGGTACTCGTAACATTAATTTTTGTTACTGAGTAAGAGCAGATGGGAAATGGCAAGGAAAACATAATAAACATAATAATACACAAGGTGTACACAAGCTCTCTCAGAATAAAGACAGCAACTTCAACAGCTGCAGAATACTAACTGCACTTGGTTGCTATCTGCAAGCAGACATTGCTATTTCTTGTGTATAAGCTGCATTTCCCCCTTACCTTGGCGAACTCAGTCACATTATTTTGAAACATGAAAGAAAATGCAGAGGGCATACAATAAATTAAAGAGGAAGCCATATCTTTATTCTGTTCAGCCTATTAGATTCTCAAATCCTCTTGAACATCCACTGATAATGATAAGGCAGCAGATGACTCAGGTAGATATGTTCACACAGCTAGTCTCCACTAGCATTTCCCATTCTTGGCAGAACACCATCTTGCTCTCTCTGTACATAACAAACAGTTCAACAGCTTGTGCATGCAATAGAGAGTCCAAGGTCAATTCAGAGCATACAGAGAGCAGATTACTAGAAGTGGT